GTGGACTGAGCATGACGAAGGAAAGAGTAAGTGAATGAGAAGAAATGTCAATGGAAACATCCCGAATTAATGTGAAGAGAAAGAAAGAAAAAAGAAAGAAAGAAGGGGATATCCAGCAACTGGGGGCAACTACAAATGGTGAAACAGATGTCTAATGGGAACACCAGAAGGAGAGCAAAGAGAGAAATGAACAGAATAAATATTTGAAGTAAGAATGACTGGAAATTTTCCAAAATTAGTGACAGTTACCAAACCAAAGGCCCAGGAAGCTCAGAGGCCAATATGCAAGATAAATTCCAAAATAACCTACCCATTCAAGAGAAGGAATATTCCCAGGATAAAGGGAATTATTTCCTAACACTTAGGAAATATTTCCACAAATATTTCATGAAAACCAGTCTGTATTTCAGAAACTGTCTAAAGTCCTTTAAAAAAATGGTGAATATGTTGTGGCAATGACTTGTGTTATTTTGTGTAGGTGTGTTCCTCTTTCCTATTCACCTACTAATTTCCTTACTCCCCCCTCTACTTCCCCTCCTTTCTCATTAACTAAAATACATAAACCTTGGTTTAATGAATGCATAATTTATAGCATAAATAGTGGTCCGTAATTAGTTAGCAAACGTGTTTAGAAACATTATTGATAAGAGAAAGAACTCTTGATTTTATTCCTCACTGAACCAATTAGCTTTTTCAGTTTGGGGTGTATCCAACTTACTACAGAGAAGTATAGTACCTCAGAAAGTGAATGAGGAGATTTAAAAGGATTTGTACAAAGCAGTCCCAACATTGTTTGGAACATATTTGTTTGAAACAAAAAATATAACAAAATCAAGTATTGCACGCAATATTTTTATAAAGAGTTGTCAGAGAACATGATTTATAATTATCATTCAATAGTTTGTAAAACACTTGGCAATAGACCTGCAAATAGATATTTATCATTTAAAAAGTGGGTTGATTTTGTTCTTTTCAGATTGCTAATTATGTTTATCAATTAATTAATTGCAAATTCAGAAAAGTCAGTAGAGTATTTGGCAAATGTCCACTGCAGAGGGCACGGGCAGTAAAAAAATCTTTTTTGTTAGTAGCTAACATTTGCATAATATTTTCCAAATATATAAAGAATTTTCCAAATAGTTTCCAAATATATAAAGAATTTTCATCTACATTCTGTTCATCTGAAGAAATGAGAACTAGATCTGCACTTCAGTTACAGAGAATATATGTTTCTTATGCAGAAAATTTTAACACTATCCTTATGTCCTTGTGGATACTTCAGACTTTCCATTTTAACAATGAAGCATTTCAATTCCATATTAATAATAGCTTTAATAAATATAATCTCAACAATGATTAACTTTGTCAGATAAAATGTTATGGGACATACTCCACTAAATCAATTATTTCCTTGACAATTTTCTAAGAGGTACAGTGAAGCAATTCATATCATTTTCCCATTCTTCCTTAATTTTGTTTCATGTGCATCAGCTCTTTTATATATAAACTTAACAATGAACATACACTTTATCATTGAGGAATTTTTATTTTGTACATACACATCATATTTCCTGTATTTTTACTTGTATTATACACTGTAATCTTCAAAACAATACAGGAGATAGATATCATTTTAATCTTTTTTGCATGAGGATATGGAAATTCATAACAGTTAAGAAGGATGTTTGCTGATGGTCAGACAACTCTTGAGAAAATTGAGAATTCAATCTGCCTCCTCTAACTTGGAGAGCAGTTATCTTAACCATTTTCTCAAAAGTTTCTAAGTTCAGAATTTAAAATCAGGTGAGACTAAATTTAAAGTGCCCTTTCTTTCTTAACAGAAGCATGAAGTTGAACCAGTTACTTATATACTTTGAGCCTCATCATCTTCCTCAAATATAATAAAAATATGAGGTACCCTGCACAACTAAGAGGATTAGGCATATCATATAAATTCTTAGATATAAATAATTAGCACGTGAAATTTATGAGATTCTTGAGAACTAGCATCAATCCTTTTCACTTATTTATTATGTGAATATTTTTAAAATTACAGGAATCTATATTTCCTGATGCCAAACATGATAAACTATTAATATTCTTTTCAGATACTATTTTTCATTGGTTTTCTTTATAAATAAATCAACAAGTTTTCAAAATATTTTGCTGATATTTTATGGTGTTTTATATACTTTAATTTCTGAGAAAGCTTGAAAATGGTGAAAGTTCATCATATCTTTCAAGGCAAGTAAACAAAAACTGACAAAACTCCCATTTGTCAATCTCTTAAAATAATTTAAACAATCTATAATTATTTATTGAACAAATACTATGGGGCCAAATATGTAAAATTCAACAGTCCATGAGCTGAGAATTTCCAGGTGTTCAAGCTAGATTTAGAAAAGGCAGAGGAACCAGAGATCAAATTGCCAACATCCGTCGGATCATCAAAAAAGCAAGAGAATTCCAGAAAGACATCTACTTCTGCTTTATTGACTACACTAAGCTTTTGACTGTGTGGATCACAACAAACTATGGATAATTCTTAAAGAGATGGGAATACCAGACCACCTTCCTTGCTCCTGAGAAATCTGTATGGAGGTCAAAAAGAAACAAAACTGGACATGGAACATTGGACTGGTTTCAAATTTGGAAAGGAGTACGTTAAGACTGTATATTGTCACCCTGCTTATTTAATTTATATGCAGAGAACATGATGCAAAATACTGGGTTGAAAGAAGCTCAAGCTGAAATCAAGATTGCCAGGAGAAATATCAATAACCTCAGATATGCAGATGACACCATCCTTATGGCAGAAAGTGAAGAACTAAAGAACCTCTTGATGAAAGTGAAAGAGGAGAGTGAAAAAGTCTGGCTTAAAATTCAACACTCAAAAATGAAGATCATGGCAATTGGTCCCATCATTTCATGGCAAATAGATGGGGAAATAATGGAAACAGAGGAAAACTTTATTTTCTGGGGCTCCAACACCACTGCAGATGGTGACTGCAGCGTTGAAATTAAAAGATGCTTGCTCCTTGGAAGAAAAGCTATGACCAACCTAGACAGCACATTAAGAAGCAGAGACATTACTTTGCCAACAAAGGTCCATCTAGTCAAAGCTATGGTTTTTCCAGTAGTCATGGATGTGAGTTCAACCATGAAGAAAGGTGAACACTGAAGAACTGATGCTTTTGCGCTCTGTGTTTTTGGAGAAGACTCTTGAGAGTCTCTTGAACTGCAAGGAGCTCATACCAGTTATCCTAGAGGATATCCTGAATATTCATTGGAAGGACTGATGCTGAAGCTGAAGCTCCAATACTCTGGCCACCTGATGCAAAGAACTGACTTATCAGAAAAGACCCTGATGCTGGGAAAGATTGAAGGCAGGGGGAGGGGACAACAGAGGATGAGATGGTTGGATGGCATCACCGACTCAATGGACATGAGTTTGAGCAAGCTCCCGAAGTTGGTGATGGACAAGGAAACCTGGCATGCTTGTCAGTGGTTTCGAAAAGAGTCAGGCACAACTGAGCAACTGAACTGACAATCAATTCTGATTCTTTGCGACCCTGTGGACTGTAGCCTGCCAGGCTCCTGTCCCCACAGGATTCTCTAGGCAAGAATAGTGGAGTGGGTTGCAATTTCCTCTTCCAGTGGATCTTCCCAATCCAGGGATTGAACCCATGTCTCCTGCTGCTCTTGCATTGCAGGCAGATTTTTTTACCACTTAGCCACTAGGAAATAGAGCCAAATAATGCTGATTACAAAATATCTAGTACAGCATTATTTGGATTGGGCTTCCCCTGTGGCTCAGTGGTAAAGAATCCCACCTGCAATGCAGGAAATATAGAAGATATTGGTTCCATCCCTGTGTCTGGAAGATCCCCTGGAGAAGGAAATGGCAACTCATTACAGTGTTCTTGCCTGGCAAATTCCATGGACAGAGAAGCCTGGCAGTCTACACTCCTTAGTGCTGGAAAGAGTCGAACACCACTGAGCATGCATACACAAACAAACAAACATTATTTGGATTGCTTGGCATATTTGCTTAATAATAGGATGAAGAGTTTTAAGGATGTTTCCTGTAGTTTTGAATGTGAATCATTTTTTCTGAATATGAGGTCCACATTAGGAATCGATTCTGGATTTATAGGTAAATACTTAAAAGTGGTGCTGAAAGTGATGTCTCTTACCATTCAAAGTATGTTCTATAGGTAAGAAGAATCACTATTACCTAGGAGTTTGTTGGAAATGAAGAAATCAGATAATACACCAAATATATTGAATCTCAATTTAGCTATCCCCCAGATAATTCATATGTATATTAGTACTTTAAAGTGGAATTTTATCACTTTGTTACTTGGTTACTTGTGTTTATGGGTGGAAAAATGAAATTTTAAAATTGCCGAAATGCAGTGTTCTGAAAATTCCATGAACAAAAAGCAGATAAGTGGCTGGATTCAAAGCTTTCCAAACTTATTTAAACACTTATCTGAGTAGTAAAACAAAATGCTTCCCCTACCAGGACATGTTTGGTTTAATTCAAATTATCCACTATGAACAATGGCCTTTAATTTGCCTTATTTTGGAAACTAGCTGTTCAGGTTTTTCATTTACAAGAGTTGTTGACTAATTAAGCAAGGAGACACTCCAGGTAATATATTTCTGGAAGTACAAGAAAATAGAGTGAAGGGTACATAAAAAATTTAGTGACCTGCTTGCCATCTTATGCAAGCTCACTTACCACTTTGCAATGTGCTGCCTAAGTGACTTACACTGTGATCAAACTAGAGTAGATATTGGCCCAGTTGGCAGAGTCATCTCTCCAGTCATTTTTAGAGTATTAATATTAGACATGTTTATTTAAAGTCCAATCAGAAGTTCCACTTTTGCCCAGCTTTTAAAATGTTTGTTAATTTACCTACAGAGCAACATTTGAATATCAAAATATTTGTTTGTATTAATTAAAACAATTAGAAAAAACAAAACAACCTTACTTTCCAAGGGCAAAACATTCCAGTTTTACAGATGAATCCTTTGCAGCTTGCATAGTTTCAGGAAAACGCACTTCAATCTTTGGTTCATATTCCCCCATCACACCTGTTAAATAGCAAAAGAGCTAGCAGCATTTCTAAAGAACAGAGATTTTCTATGAAGCAAATAATTTAGTTATCAAAATTTGATTATTCTGTCCTTTAGTTAACAATCTTTTTCTATACTGATGATGAATGATGGAGAGCATCACTTCATGATGCTGTTTAAAAAATTAGTTCATTCCTCTCTCCCCTAAAAAAGAAATACCTAAGATATACCAAAATATCAGAATAAATGCATACCAAATTTCCCTGTATTCCACAAGAACATATTAAAAATAAAATAAGTTATTTTACAAAATAAAAATACTTCCTTTTTTAGAACTTAATCATTCTAAACATTCGAAGAGGCTGTGGTTGAAAAGACAGAGTTCTACTTCATTCAGATAAATTGGTAAATTTTATTTTTTCTATTTCTTTGATGTGATATTTCTTGAATGACTACTTTTAGAAGAGATTTTTTTTTAGTATTATGTGTGATGCTTTTGTATATTTTTACCATAAATATATTGAAAAGAATAGAGGAGATGGAATAATGAAGGAATTAAGAAGAGAAGTTAAGAAAGTAGGTAGATGGGGAGAAAAAAGGCCAATATGATAGTTTCTATGCACTGGCGTAGGAGCTCTTGTGATCATGAACAGAGCACTCACTGAAGGAGAGAAATTGGACTTACAGTGGTTGATGAATTCTAAATTAAGGCCATGCAAGTATATTTGAATAGTTAGTGATTATAAAAACTCTGTCACAAGAATTCTCTGTATGGAGCTAATTCCATGATTCTGTTATCCATCCTTAAATTATATTCCTGCTTTTCTTGAACATAGGAGAAAAATTCTATTGACATATTACACTTCAAGTTCAGAATCTGATCATAAAACGCTTCAACAGATATTTCCATCTTTACATTTACCACTGTGAATATTTATTTAAAGAATCAACTAGAGGATTTTTCTACTTTGATGAGTTTCTTAGGTTTTCTAGCTCTAAATCTTGTACCAGCTATGGCTTGACTAAACTCCAAAATCATCAGAGACCAATCTAAATTATGTTCCTTGGAGAAATATAATTAGTATGAATTTTGTCTTTCATTTTTCTTTGGAATGCTCATTATTAATGTTGACTTGATTTACTTTCCTTGGATGTGAATTGTTTTCCTGCTTTGCCAACTAGGAAAAAAAAAAGGGTGAACAAGAGAGACAAATATGGAAAAGAAAGTGGTGTTAAAGAAAAGCTGTATCATATATTCATTGAAAATATATTAATGAATAATTTGGTCAGCACTCACACATTCACACACACATGATTAGTCTCCCAAACATTCTTTCTTTTTTAATAAAATATTTCTTAAGCAAAGAAAGGATCTATTTCAGATCCAGAGAGGAAGTGGCATAGCATTCTCAGAATCATCTATACTATACCATGTGGATTAATTATATAGATTTCTATTATTTTTGACAATATGTAATTTTCATCATATTTGTGAATTAAACCTCAAATCCTAGATATTATGGCTCCGCTGAAACAGATGAAAGCAGAAAGCTCTACAGATCTCTCCAAGTTTCAAAATTCACAGACAAAATTTATCCCTAAGAAAACTCATCATCTTACCATCAGTGCGCTGTACCAATGGAGTAGGTGGTCCTTGAACACTTTTCTGGGCTTCTTTGTTTGTTATGAAGCAAGTGTAGTTGCCAACATCTGATGGCTCCACTTTGGCAATGTACAAGTTCCCTGTCTCTTGTGATACAAACCGTCTGTTGTCCTCTTGAACATATAAGGGGTTATCATTGAAGGTCCATGCATAAGATAAAGCTGGAAACAGAACAAAATAAGTATTTTCCTTACTGTATTCATTTTTACCTGAAAGTTTTGCGTCCTACTTTTCCATAAATAGAATACAACTATGCCCCTGTTTGTCCAGTTTGTGCCTGTCATCCTGATGTAATTGTTTTATTTCTTTATAGTTAGTATTTCCCAATTTGGATGATATGGTTTTCCTGTCCACCACTGGCTTTGTGTAATTAGAGATGTGATGGTGAGATGTCAAGGGAACAAGTGGATGAATTTATTAAGAAAAGTCATATGATATAAAATATTATGGGCTCAAAGTGTACACTGAATTTCTGCATCAGTGCTCTTGTTAAAGCTGTGCTTCTCAATATGCAATCAGAAGGATGCCCATATTAATCATTTTTGGGGTGCTTGCTAAAAATTTTACTTCAAGATATAAGTTCAGGGACCCTACCACTTGGAGTCATTCATTCAATTATTACACAATTTCTGAACATCTCTTTTGTGACCATTTTTGGACTTAGAACACATTAAAGCAAATCCTGTGCCTTATAAAACTCGACCTAGTAAACTGATCACAACTAGTGTGGATAATGTCAATGTGGGCTGACATGTGCTTTGGCAGAAGCATCGCTGGAACCCAGATGAGGAGCCTCGGATGATCTGTGGTCAGAAAAGTCTTCTGAGAAGAATTCTGTGCTCAAACTAGCAGGATGAATGGGAGCTATCCAGGCAACAGATGAGCAAACATTGCTCAGAGAACAAAAGCTTGAAGATGAAAGAAGGCATATCATTTTTGCTGAACATCAATCAACTTCTGGAAATCTTATATATAAATATGAATATAAATATATAGAAGCATATATAACTGGTATAATTATCATGCTATAAAATGCACAAATCCTAAGTGTTCAGTTCAGTTAATTGTAACAGTCTAAGCACTATGAAATCACCAGCCTAAAATAAATTATGGAACATTCCCATTTTAGAAACTTTATTATGTCCTTATCTGTCAACCTCTACTGTTGTAACAACTACCAGATTTCTATCATCATAGGTTATTGAATTTCATAAAAATAGAATCAAACAGAATGCACTTCTTTTTGAACTTTTATATTGGAATATAGTTGCTTAACAATGTTGTGTTAATTGCAAATGTACAGTAGAGTGATTCAGTTATCAATTTTTTCCCCATATAGGTTATTTCAGAGTATTGAACAGAGTTACCTGTGCTATATAGTAGGTCTTTGTTGATTATCTACTTTAAATATAGCAGTGTATACATATCAGTCTCCAACTCCCAATGCACTATTTTGTGTCTGGTTTGTTTAATGGGGTATCTTAATGTTCCCCTATGTAGTTGTGACTGTCAGTACTTTTTTTCTTTCTATTACTGACTGGAATTCCATTTTTGTGAATATATCACAATCTGGCTGCTTTCTTGTTGAAGACTGAATTGTTTCAATTAGAATTGTTTCCATTTGGGGACCATTATATTGGATTGGCCAAAAAGTTCATTTGGGTTTTTCTATATGATACGGAAAGACCTCAGTGAATTTTTGGCCAATCCAATGCATTAGGTTCAAATAAACATTATTTTCTAAGACTGTCTGTGGACATTTTTGCCTTTCTTTGTTAAGTCACTAGATGTGAACTACAGGATAGATGCATGTTTTACTTAAAAAAAAACTACAAAAGAATTGTCCAGTTATACTAGTTGATATCTCTATCTGCAATATATGAGAGTTATAATTGGTCTATATCTCGGCAAAAATTGTGTTGTCATTTTAAAAATTCTATCTAGATACTGTTGAGCAAGGGGGTTGCAGGTGGCACTAGTGGTAAAGAATCTGCCTGCCAATGCAGGAGATGCCAGAGATGCGGGTTCGATTCCTGAGTCAGGAAGATCCCCTGGAGGAGGACATGGCAAGCCACTCCAGCATTCTTGCCTGGAGAATTCCATGGGCAGAGGAGGCTGGCAGGCCACAGTCCATGGGGTCACAAAGAGTCAGAAATGACTGAAGTGACTTAGCCAGCATGCATCACTAAGCAAAGGAAAATAGTCTCATGTATTAAGGTTTGATAAGTGTGGTAACCTTATGATTAAAGTGTGAAAAGTATGGTAAAAGTATGATTAAAGTATGAAAAAGTGTGGTAACCTTTTTATTAAAAGGTTAAGAAATTGTATGTATTGTGAAAACTAGATGCAAATGAACTTATATCAAGGAAAGTGGAAGAACATAACTGGTTCAAAAATGACCCCCTCCCCAAATATGTGGAAGATATAGGTGTTGGGGGTGAAAAGGGGAAATATACTAGTGATGGTTAAAATGGCTTCAACTGTAGATGAACTTGGACATCACACATTTGGAAATCACAGCTCGCAGGAGAACAGTTAAGGCAACTGGGAACCTCTTATCCAGACAGAGGTTACTGTTCATGTTTGTCATCTGTACTTACGTTAAAACTAGTGGAGAAGCAAGACATGACAGAGACAAAAAAAAAAAGAAAGCTAATTATTTCTATAATGTTCTATCAGTCCTCTCCAGATAGAAGCAGACTACCTGAAACATTCTTCACTAATTGAACTGATTCAAAATCCTCTAGAGGCATGATGAAGCAAAATGAATTGAAAGCTATTTTGACCTTAAATCTGATCCATATACAAAAACTCTTGAGAAAATGCGTGCATGCGCTGTTGTTTTAGTCGTGTCTGGCTCTTTGTGACCCTATAGACTATAACCTGCCAGGCTCCTCTGTCCGTGGGATTCTCCAGGCAAGAATACTGGAGTGGGTGGCCATGACCTCCTCCCGGGGTTCTTCCTGACCCAGGGATTGAACCCATATCTCTTAAGCCTCCTATATTTCCTGCACTGCAGGTGGATTCTTTATTCACTGAGCCACCTGGGAAGTCCCTTGAGAAAGTGGGAATGTGTGAATTTTGGCATCTTTATCATCCCTTTCAAACCAAGAAAAAAAAGATAAAGTATTAACAATATACTTAGGGAACCAGATTTTTTTTTAAAGAATGAAAGAAAAGAAGATAGAAAGGAGACAAGAAAATAATGAGTTTACAAAAAACAGACTAAATTAAATCACATTATATATTAAATTATATATTATATATGCAATGTATTAAATTCTGACAACAATTCATAAATGATTTCAGTAAGAATAAATTCATCTGAATAGCCAGAACTCTGGTATCATTCTCAGGAATGAAGAAGATATGAGAGAAATATACAACAAAGAGGATGAACAGCAACAAAAATGCCACTTAAGCATGAAACATAAAAATTCACAAAGTGTCGTTAAGCCTGTAAAATTACTGCTCAGAAAGAAAAGCGATCTAAGACATGTTATTACATGAAAAGTATATTGTAAATAAAAGTGTTTGGTATGATCTCATAAAAAATTATGCACTTACATGCATGAGAACTTATGTGTGTATTTCTGCAAATTTTTAAATTTAAAAATCTAGGAATGTATACAGTGGCTTTCTCAAGGGAAGGGAAAGGAACATAGAAGACTTTCACTCTATATAATTTGTGCCTCCCATATTTGAATATTTAATTATTATGTAATATTTGTGTAAATGGGAAAAATAAACAACAGGATTAATAATGTACCAGGAAAGCTAAACACAATAATGGGTTATCATTTACAAAAAAAAAGATGGATAGTATTATTCTTTTAATGTCCTTTATTCTTACTCTGGACTATTCAGACTGGAGTATTATGTTTTATTCAGAGCACATTATGAAACATGTTAAGGTGCAAATGGCTAATCCTACCCTAGCAATTTGGTTTATTAACATCTGAGTGAAGTACCATGGAATCTGTATTTTCAACAGCCTATAAATGTCTTGAAGTTGAATTGTAATATTGTGTTCAGAGTACCCATTATTGAGAGGGACCTGAAAAATCTCAAGTATATTGAGATAGGTAGCCAAAATGTAGCCAAGCCCAGAAGTTAATACACCAAAGAAAGTGGTAAGAGCTTAGATTTTTACCCTGGAGGGCGGAAGTGGAGAAAAATAGCTGAGTTGTTTTCAAGGTAAAATGGCTATGACATTCACAAAGGGTTTAAAAAAAAGCTCTCTCCATTGATGTCCAGAAGGCAAAAGCAGGACTTGTGACTGCTGGACATTACAGTATGCTATTTGACTACATTAAGATACAGTGAAGATCAGTCCAAACTTTAGAAGCAGAAGACTTCAGAGATAGTAAGTTTTCTATTATTAAAGATGACCAAACAGAATGCACAAGAATTGCTTGAGGTGTTGCAAAAGAAGTTTATTTTTGCAGTGAATGGGAAGCTAAACCCATGTCTCTCTGAATGGTCTACTCCACTCTCAACATTCCTTTGAGTTTTCTGAGTCTATGCTTTTAGGTCAACTGTGCGTAAATAAGTCACTTAAAAAAAAATATGTTTTGACATTCTTGTCCTGTTCCCAGGTATTGAATCTTTGTGGGTTTTTTTTTTTCCCTTGGCAAGTCCCTACTAGGGTCTTTTATCATTTCATATGGGCTCTTGTGTCTGAGTTTCTTTACTGACGTCCTTTGCTACTTCACTTCTAAGCCTGTTGCTCTGTCTTCACCAGAGAGATGCTCAAAGGGTTTTGTTTGAAACTGGAGAGCCACCTAGATAGTAAATTTTTTTCAGTATAAAGAGGAGGAGAAAATGTAGTTCAGGTTTCCCTGTTGTCTGTGACTCTTCATCTTTCGAACCTTCTGTGAAATAAAGACAAATCTTGAGCAAATTCCCAGGGCTGTGTTCAGCTTAGGTATCTTTAATCGATGCCTCTGTGGGAAGAGGAATAAGTTCTAGCCCTCTGAAATCCAAAGCAACTCCTTTCGCTTAACAGATATTACACATTGCCACTGGTGCTCAGGAAATCTTTGTATACTTTTACCCTATAATCTTGTGGCCAGAGACTATAATTTTCATCTCTCCCTAGGTGAATTCATTTTTACCTTACTACTAAAGCTTTCTGATCTGTTCCTACATGTAGTGTATC